CAACCTAGGTGCCTTTAAATAAATGAATGGATAAAGAAAATGTTGTTTGTATACACAATGGAATATTACTCAGCCATAAAAAATGACTATGACTTTTGCTGGTAAATGGATGAATCTGGAGACTATCATGCTAAGTGAAATAAGCCAATCCCAAAAACCCAAAGGCTAAATGCTCTCTCTGATACACAGATGGTAACACACAATAAGCAGGGGAAGAAAAAGAGTAGACGTTCAGTGGATTAGTCAAGAAGGAATGAAGGGAAGGGAGGGGAGGGTAATAGGAAAGACAGTGGAATAAATCAGACATAACTTTCCTGTGTTCTTATATTAATACATGACCAGTGAAACTCCATGTCATGTGCAACCACAAGAATGGGATCCTAATTAGACTATGTTATACTCCATATATGTATAATATGTCAAAAATACACTCTACTGACATATATATCTATAAATAATTAATAAAAAAGAAAATTTTGCTAGAATAATTAAAGGTCAACAAGTAGAAAAAAAGGAAATTCAATCTAAACCTCTTCAAATATTAACTCAAAATGGATCATTGTGAGGATATGAAAAACAACTTGAAATCTTATACACTGGTAATAAGGATATAAAATGGTACAGAAACTTTTGAAACTAGTTTGACAGTTCATTAATATTCTAAATATACAACCCCTACCATATGACTCAGCTATTCTATTCCTAAGTATTTACCCAAAAGAAACAAAGCATATGTCCGTACAAAATTCTGTGCATGAATATTCAGAGCAGCTTTATTTGTAACAGACTCAAACTGGAAAATAACCAAAATGCCCATTAATAGGCAAATAGAAAAACAAGCTGTGGAACATCCAGATGTGGTGGGTTAAATGGTGCCCCTCAAATAATATGCCCACTCAGAACCTGTACATGTAACTTTATTTAGGAAAATGGTCTTTATAGATGTAATTAAGGATCTCGAGAGCATCTTAGGTAAAGGATACACCTAAAATACAATGACAAGTGTCCTTAGAAGAGAAGGGAAGGAACACATCAGAGAAGTTTTTTGAAGTCAGAGGCAGAAATCGGAGTGGCACATCTACAGAAATTGTAAAGACTGCTTGCAGCCACCAGAAGCTAAGAGAAAGGCATGGGACTAACTCTCCCTCCATGCTTGGAGAAGGAACCAATCCTGCTGACACCTTGATTTCAGAAGTATGGCCTCCAGAACTGAAAGAGAGTAAAATTCTGTTGTTTTCAAAGCTACCAAGTTTGTGTCCTTTGTTATGGCAGCCCTAGGAAACTATTATGCCATACAACGCAATTCTACTCAGCAATAAAAAGGAATGAATTATGAGTATGCACAGTAACCTGAATGAATCTCAACACAGTCATTTTGATTGAAAGAACCTGTACAAGTGAGTACATATTATATAATAATTTTATTATATAATATAAAATTCTGAAAATTGTATACTCTTCTAAAATGACAGCATATCAACAGTTGCTTCAGGGCAGCGAGGGGAAAATGTCAGAGAGGGCTGAGTTTTGCAAAGGGACACAAGGAAACTTTGAAGTATTGCAAAGGGACACAAGGAAACTTTGGAAGTCATGGATAGATTCATTAGCTTGTTTTGTTGATATTTTCATGAATGTATACATATGAACTCACCAAATATGTGCCATTAGTTACATATCAATTATATCTCAAATAAAGTTCTCAAAAAATGCAATATAAAACTAGTTTTTGTATGTTTGTATAAAACTCTGACCACTTAGATATTTTTCTTCTTCTCCCTCCATTTCCCCTTTCTCTAGGTGAAGTCTGTCTGCAGGGAGAAGTGATCTCATGGCAGTAGAGAGGTGCCTGTCCTCTACGGGGTGCCTTAATAGCCTCATCACTGGTCTACGTTAATAAGGCCATGTCTTCTTACCCATGGGAAGGGTCAGTACAGACTTGATTGGCTTGTTTATTCTACGTACATTTGATTTCCTTCTATATGTGTGAGACCCTGGGTTTGACCTCCAGTACACACACATCCCTCGATGTATGAGTTCTTGCTATATTCCAGGTAAAGTTCTCAGCACTATAGATATAATCAATCATCATCAAGAGCAAACAAAGCCTTATGAGCTTACATTCTATGAGATGAAATAGACCAACAAACATGACTAACAGGTATTCCTACTGTCCAGGGTGATCAAAAGAAAATTAACTCAGAGTAAAAGCCTTGTAGGGTAGTGGCAGTTGCTGCTTTAGATAAGGGATACACAGAGACCTCTCTGGGGAAATGTCATTTAAGCAGAGACTGGGGTTAGACAGTCAATCTAATCTTTGGGAGACAAATGTCCAGGAAGAAGGGACAATAGGTATGAAAATCCTGAAGCACAAGGATACCGTTGGCACATTGAGGAAGAAAGGCCAGCAGGACTGGAGCAGCATGAACAGGAGGAGTCATTAGGAAATGACATGGTGGCAGGGACTCTGGATGTGGCAGGACAGTGTTCTTTGTCCCTAAGCACAATGCAAAGAGAACACAGAGTTTTAGGTAAGGAAGTGACGTGATCTGTATTCATCCTAAAGTGATCATTCTGGCTACCACCAGAAGATAAAAATGGACCAATTAGGAGGCCTGGACCAATTAGGAGGTCCAGGAGATGAACAATACAGTTTGGCCAGGAGGTGATGAGAAGTGATCAGATTCAACACACACTTTGAAGGCACAGCCAACAGAATTTTCTGCTTATGGTAGAAAAATGATGATTTAAAAAAATGATGATTCCAAGATTTTTACATGAACAACTGGGCAAATGGTACCACCATGCCATATGATGGGAAAGAATAGGCTTTCAAGGTGGGTAAGAATTCAGTTTTGCTTAGTGAAAGATATGGGGTAGTTAGAGAAAAGTAGGAATTTGAGTTGCCTGTGGGATGTATCTGGCCATAAAGGGTAGAAGTCCCTATGATGAGGAATGGTGAAGGGAACTTGGACTCTTGTTATAGTTTAAATAAATATAAGGTGTCCCCCAAAAGCTCATGTGTTAGACAATGCAAAAATTTTAGAGGTGAAATGATCAGGTTTGAGAGCCTTACTCTAATAAGTGTATTAATCCACCAATATGATTAACTGGGCAGTAGCTATAGTCAGGGAGGGTGTGGTTGGAGGAGGAAGGTCACTAGGGTGTGCCTTTGGGATTTATATTTCGTCTCTGGTGAGCAGAGCTCTCTCTCTTTCTACCTCCTGACTGCCACGTCCTGAGCTGCTTTCCTCCTCCATACCCTTCTGCCCTGATGTTCTCTCTCACCTTGGGAACCTCAGCAATGGTGCTGGCTATCTGTGGACTGAGTCCTCTGAAATCATATGCCCCAAATAAACTTTTCATCCTATACATTGTTCTTGTCAGGTCTAAATAAACTCCTTGTGGAAACCAAGGTAAATAAGGAGAGAGATCATAATGGAAGTAGCCCAGATGCTCTTAGAGAAAGAGGGAAGGTAACTTCTAATTAAGAGATCTTCTTGGGACTAATCTTTTAAGCGTTTCACAACAGTAAGAAGGCAGTGTTCAGATGGGGCCCATGGTGATCTCACTAGCAGCCCTTGGAGCTCTAACATCAAAACCAAGGATGGGACACTGTGCCTTTCCCTTAAATCCTGCTAAAGACAAGCATAGGACAATCAGATATCCATCCCTTATCTGTGGTAACTACCCTGACATTTTGTCACACGTTAAATGCATTGTGACTTCACTCCAGATTTTAAACCTCCCCTTCTCCACTCTGTATTTTGCTTTTTTAAAATATGGATACATTTTATTACCTTAAATTATTTTTTAAAAATTCTGAATAGTATAACTGGGTAATGGGGGGGTCTATGGATAATATCTTTAAGACTCTTGTTAATCTAAAACTATTCTAAAAATTTTAAATGTATTGAAAACTATATGACAAGAAATCAAGATATAATTGGATAAAAACATAGTTCATATAGATTGAGATTTTTGGTGTATAAAGGACTCTTACAAATCACTAAGAAAAGAATTCAAATAGTAGAAAAATAATATATATTAAAGAAAATACAGATGTGATTAGGTTATATCTACCTAAGGTCAACTGTGTCATATGATGTAACCTAATCAAAGGATTAAAATCCATGAAATCCACAGTCCTGGGGCCTCTATACAGTATGCACACCAGCAAGATAGGATAGTTTTAGCAGTCATCTTAACAACCACTGATAAAGTTCAGCTCCACTGATTCATTAGGGAATCCACTCTATATTTCTGCATGAGAGCTCGTTGGATCTTTCCCACCATCAGTGGGCAGGTTATGGGAACTGGAATATACTATCTCATGTCCTACCTACCCAAATACACCATACTACAATTCCTGCTATGCCATGACCACCCCATGTTGATATAGCATCCTCTCTGGGGTTGCTCCTCCTCAGAATCTGTTTTCGGGGAGAAGAAAGGCCTTGTCCCTTTTGATATTTCTAGAAACATTGAAGGATTTTACATGCACCATCATAAAAAAAGAAGCAGGTCCCTCAGAGTTTCACACCTATACCTAATTTATTTCTTCTCTAATATTCATTTCCTGCCTCTTTTTGAGTCTGTCCCTGTCTCCCTCTTCCTCTCCCTCTGATTTTCTTCAGGAAAATTTTTTTTTAAATTTTTTCTATGGTTTTTATGATCATTCACTAATTTTTGATGATCTTCCAAGACAAAGACTTTTAGAATTCAAAACACCATTTTTCTCTCAAGAACCTAGCTATGATTAAGAGATGCTTCAGGCTGTATTTTGAAATTTGTATTCTTCTTTCAGACTCATTCCTGCCAGTCTCTCAGGATCGGGGATGGCTAGTGCAATGGGCAGAGGACAATGAGGCAACAAAAATCTCCAAAAATAAAATTTAAAATTTCATAATAGTATCCCTTTAGCTTACCATTATCCTGTGGATTCAGTGGAGCCTGGGAGGAGGCTGGGAGGAGAAAGCCAATTGTCCCAACTCTATGAAGTCACAGCTGAGGTCACAGAGTGTTGAGAGGGAGGGGAGGTCAGATGTGGGGAGCAGAGCATTCCTGCAAGATGAGGCTCAAGGAGGGGGAAATCTAGAAGAGGTGGGGCAGAGTGTGATTTGGATAGCCAGGCAGGTAAGTTTCTGGGCATAATGGACCTGGTTCCTGACCGGGGTTTGGCAGTAGTGAAGGGTGGGAGTGGGAGAAGCCGGAGGGAAACTTCTCACAGGAGGATTTGTCTCTTACTTGGATCATTGCTTTGGCCTTTCAGTCCAAAAGCTGGAACAGACTCACCTCCAGTCTATCGTTCTACCAAGCAAGATGCTGACTGGGGCGGGGGCGGGGGCGGGTGGGGTATTTGCCAATATTAAATTTACCAAACACTACTTCTTCCCTGCCCTAGAGCCCACCTCAACTCATGAAACCTCCAGTCAACTCCTTAGCCCCCAACCTTAGATATTTTTCTGTGTAGGTTACTGAGGAGATTTTAACTGAGCTGAATTCTTCCTTCTTCTCACTTTTATCGTTTTTCACACATATATACATACATACCTCCCCCAACACACAAACACACACACACACACACACACACACACACACACACACACTCTGCTCCATTCAAAACACAGATGCTTTCTGAACTGAGACCAGGACCAAACTTCCTGTCCAGTGGGTAAGTGCTTTCTTCTCACTATGTGCCTGCCTCTCCCCTTATTCATTTCTCCCCAGTACCTGGAGCTCTCTGTCTTCAGCTCCAGGATCCTTGGTTCTTGTACAAGAGCAAATGGCAGAGCTTGCTTACCAAGATCAAAACCAAGAGGCAGAAATGGCATCCATGGAGCAGAGAAGGTAAGTGGGATGAATGATGATTCTCAAGGATCCTTAGAATGAATATACTATATGGGAGAAGAATTAGGGTCACCTACCACCTGTCTCCCCTCTCTCTTCGCCTGGTTGTCCTTGTTTCCTGGTTGTGGTAGATGGGGACTTTCACATGTCCTGCTTTTTCTGTATTGCCTCAGTGGAAAAGGTCAGTCTGTCACGGTAACTCGGAAAATGAGCATCAGTTGTAATTCCTCAAGGAGACAGTTGGGTATTGCAGCCTAGGGACATTTGTTCATTACAAGGATGACTTTTTCTTAAATTCTTTATGTCCTCAATAGTGTAAATCAAAGTCAGTCATATACCTTGGGCTAGGTTGGTACAGAGACCCAGAAGCTGCTGCTTAAAGCTAAATATAAGCCAAAGAAATTTCAGCCATTCAGTCAGGGGCAGAGGGAAGAGGCTTTCTGTAAGCGTACAGATCAGGAATTGGAACTTGGCTTCAGCCTTTGATCTATGCAGCAGTGTTTTGTTTTTGTTCTTGTATCATTAAGAATTGAATTCAGGGGTGTTTCTACCACTGAGCTACATCTCCATTCCTTTTGATTTTGTTACTTTGAGACTCACTAAGTTGCAGGCTGGCCTCAAACTTACAATCCTCCTGCCTCAGTCTCCTAAGTAGTTGGGATTATAGATAAGTGTCACCACGCCCAGTGCAGCAGATGTTTTGAGATTAAAGCTTGTAGGAATTAGGGTAGAGAGAGAGAGTAGAGGTTTTTTGGGTTGCCGATCTCATTTAAGTGCCCAGAATGGTTAACAAAGTCTCAACCTGAGAGCTAATAAGGAATTGAGAAGCCTGAAGCTTGGGAAAAGATAAAACCTGCTCTAAGAGCATGCCTTGTCTTCCAGACGGCTACAGAACCCTGAGGAGAAGATAGTGATTAGACACTGGAGTCTCTTTCACTTATCTATAAAAAAACACACATAAAACAGACCAGAGTATTATCATCTGATGAACAGATGATTTGGAACAGTGAAAGAGTGAGCAAGATTAAAAATAATCCTAATAATAATGTTTGAAATAACAGTTATAAAGGCTTCCTACACTCCTCTGCTAAACCCTTGAGATACAAATCATTCCTCCTGTTTTATAGATAAGGAGACAAATTCAAACAAGCAGAGACTTGCCAAAAATCTTAGAATGAGAGCATCGTGAGGGTAGAATTCAAAATATTCTGTCCCTAAATTCCAAATTCTTCCTACTGCAATGGAATTAGTGTTCCAATAACTCAATTATAATATAAGTGGGACACAAGAACTTAGAGCAATCAAAATAGAGTAGAATCAAACAGACCTGCTTTTACACTACTGTTACACCAAAGCCTTGGTTTGCTGCATAGCAGAGTGGACAATTCACACCTCCTCCCTCACAGGACTGTTTGTGGATAGGGTATGTGGATCAAAGCACCTACCTTAGAGCCTGGTTCTTTGAGCCATTTGAGGATATAACCACTATACTTCCATTGTGAGTCAGTCTCTCACTTGCTCTGCTCTGCCTCTTTCTGCCACAGTTTCTTTATTCTTCCCCTCCCTACCCCACTTTTCCCACTTTTCTCCATTAACACACACACCACACACACACACACACACACACACACACACACTCTTTTTCCCAATGTCTTTGTGTCAATTGTTCACCATCTCTGTTGGCAAGGGTTTGGATTAAAAGTCTGGTGGAGAAAACACAAGGTGAACCCCAGTTCTGTTATAATTTCCCAGGGACAGGTAGACAGAACCCTTGAGAGGAAAAGCCATCAAAGTAAAGGTGTTTGTAGAATAGGAGGCATGGCTTGAGCTGGAGTGAGGAACAGCTGTCCCAGTTTCCATGGATGAATACCTCTCCAGCAAAGTTTTATGCATGATTCACCTGATATGGTGGCTCCCAGGGAGATATCTATTCTGTCCTTTGCTATTTGGATCAAAGTTCTTCAAGATTCCCCAACTAACTGGAGATCTGTTGAGATCACCGTCTTCTTGGGCTCAGTTACTGCTCTCTTCTGTGCTCCCTGACTCCTCTTGGTCACACCACTTCATACCCTCACTTGGAATGATGTATGGCAGGAACCCCAGACCAGAAATATAACAATCCTTGGGTTCTGAAACATGTTTTCTCCTCTGTCATATTTCCCCTTTTTCCCTTCTGAGAGTCCCATCCAAGGGCCCTGAAACAATTCTAAGAGGTCATGAATGACTTACCCCTCCCTCTTCCAGTTTATTACCAATCCCCTGGCTTCCTGTGGCCTGTCACCCCTACCCAAGTCTACACATGACCAGCATATCCGGGATGTTTGCTCAGGATCCACTATAATGGTAGATCTGACTGATTGCCTTAGTTTCACCCAACCTTATTCCTGTCCTTCCTGTCAGTTACCTGCCTAACCCTGTATACCATACAGCGACTCCTTCTTCCAGGTGACTCTGGCACTGATTCTAGTAGTATTTAGGAATGAGAGCTTCAGTTGTGCTTTCCAGAATAAATAAAATCTTTCAACTGCTTCCTTAGCTTTCCATCCCCATCCCTGCCCCATCAGAGGACATGAAGAGACAAGGGAACACATTTAAGGGGGTCAAAAAGAGCAGCATTTTGATAATTGGATGTACCTCATCAATAAGCACCTGGATAGTTTAACCACTTAAGAAGAGTGAAAAGTAGGAAATAGATACAATTAGGCAGGAGAAAATGGTATGATTTAATAATAATGACCATCACCTTCACCTCCATCTCTTAATCCTTTGAATCTTCAAAGTTCTATCACAATAGCCAAGATTCTGGGGGAAATAAAGCTGCAAGTCCCAGAAGGGATATGAGAGTCCTAGCAATTCTTCCAAAAATTTTGCATAGAAACTTTTAAAGGATTCCTTTTTTTTCCCCACCACACTGATGTTTATTTTGTGAATATTTTGTAAGGGTTTTTTTGAAAAATTTTACTGGTTATTTTTAGTTATATATGACAGCAGAATCCATTTTAATATAATTACACAAGCAGAGAACATTGAAGATTCTTGCTAGGAGTTTGTAGGATGGAGTTAGGAGAAACATTTAGCTTATTTCCCTCTCCTCATCAGATTTCTGTCATCCTTTCTTTCTAGCACATCCATTGAAAAGACAATCATACCACAGGTGGGTAAGACATCCAAGTCCTTTGGGGATTCCTGGGGATAAAAGGAGGAGAAGAGGCTACAGCCAGAAGACAGAAACGCTGTATCTTGGAGGGTTTGTGCTTTGTGGTCTAGGGTTTGGGGGCTGTCTGGTAGGTCATCATGTACCAAGACCAGTTAGCAATTCCAATACCACACGACTCCAGAAGCAGGCAAGCTACATGGGTATTGATATAACAGGGGGATTTACAGGTCTGTTTGTACCTGGTCACCCACTAATTAGATAAAGAGTTGAGCAGGAGATGTGAGCTAAAAATGACTAAGCAGGACTGAAGGAGATTTTGAGCTGTGTGAAATATGGAGAGTGACTTTGGGTGTCTATTCCAATTCCAAGAAACATCTTTTATTCCACCATGTCAGATTCTGGGAGAGTTAGGGTAACATTGCCAAGATATGTCTCTTATCTCAACAGGAAAGAGATATAAGGATCTCAGAAACCCTGTGGGACCAGGTGAGTACAAAAGGGTCCCTTTTGATGTTATGGTGAGAGGTAGAAGAAGGGAGAGAGAGCATAAGAGAGGAACACATTTCCTTCTCTTCCCTTGAGCCGTTTGCTGATTCATGGTGAAGGATTACCATGCTCCCTCCTATCTTTTTCTATTACTCATTCAGTCCCAGTTCTCTCCATGCCTGTTCTTCTTTCTTCCCCTTCCAACACCACCTGTTTGAAGTTGTCACAAGTCCTGTTTGTTTGAAGTCTGGTTTTAAGAGTGTTTAATCCTTCAGTTCTTAGTGACTGCCACAGACCTAAATAAAAGCACAGATTTGGTCAGATTCAGTTGATAAAGTTATGATCTGAGCCCTACAGTGAAGGCTGATATGTCTTTGCATTTTTTTTAAATGTTCATTTTTTTTAGTTACAGTTGGACACACAATACCTTTATTTTATTTATTTATTTTTATGTGATACTGAGGATGGCACCCAGGCCTTGGATGTGCTAGGTGTGTGCTCTACCACTGAGCCACAACCCCAGCCCCCATGTCTTTAAGCCATTTTAGATCAATTATTCACCATCTCTGTTTACAAGAGTTTAGATTAAGACTCACCCTGGAAGAGAAAACGCCTTGTGAACCCAAGTACTGTGTTATTTTCTCTCCCCTCCACACTCCTTGGGGAAAAGAATTTTCAAAGTAAAGGTGTTTAGGATAAAGGTCATGGCTTAGATTAGAGCAAGAAACAGCTGTCCCAGGTTCCATGGAGAAGCACCACTCTAGTTAGCAGAATTCTGTGCTTCTGGATACAATTAAAAGTCACCCTGTGGTTACTGGCCATTTTACCAGTGAAGTATGAGAGGAAGAAAGCAAAAGAATATGACCCTGGATGTGAAGAATTGTCTTTCCTGTGGTTAGGAAAAACAATTTATTTTGATTCCATGTTAAGGGAGTATTACAACTTAAGAATTAGACAAAACAGTTTCAATTGATTTAGAGAGATTCAGTCAAAAAATGTCTTCCTTTGTGGAAGATAGTTGAGACAGATATTCTGTAATACGTGAAATTGTTTAGTCCTATCAATAGGGTGTTGGGTTGTTTTATATTTATTTTGAATTTATAGTATGTCCCATATTTTAAAAAGCAGGAAAAGATAGTTTTTTTTTTAATTAAAATGGGTGAAATTCTCCAAAGCTTCTTCTGCCAGCCTCCACTGAACATACTAAATGAGTAATTTTTATTCTATTTCTAATGGCTCCATAAGTTTTACAAAAGGAAGTAATCTTTTTCATCACAATGCTGTACATTAGCATAACTATTTCATATTCTTACAATTATTGTATTAGCTGAAGAACAAGTTGCTTTTATAAAGGTCAGAAGTTCATCCTGTTGAGAATCAGTAAATAATTGGATACCTGTAATATAGCAAAGGGTAAACAAAGGGTTGCTGAGAGGAAATAAATTGATAATTGGCCCAGTCCACTCCTTTGACCATTAATCTTCCATGTGCACTATTATACACAAATAAAACTACTGATTATCTAAAAAAAAAAAAACTTTAACCAAACAAGATACCATTACCTGTCATAAAGCTTACCCTTTCCTCCAAATGAGGCAATCCAAAGTTTCAACAATTATTGTAGATACAATAGACATTGTAGATACAATCTATCTACAGCTGGATAAGTATAAATTTACTTTTCTATGAAATTGCCAGAACTTTTTCCAAAGTGACTCTGATTTTACACATCCCTGAAAACAGAGTTTTAGGTGCTCCACATCCTCGCCTATTAGCTGTTGTTCTTCAGTGTATTATAACCTAAGTACAAATATGTGCCGGTTTTAATAGCTATGCTTAGTTTCAGAACAAGGACTGATTGAACAGAAATGAAATATAATAGTAATTTTCATTATACATTTTGTTCACAGACCATTCTTCTTTGAATGCTTCACTGCATTTCACCCATTTACCATATGGAGAAATGGCGGCCAAAAGATATGTGTAGAATGGAAGTCAATGGGAGTTTATTGCTGGCACTAGAAAGCCACGGTCCCTTTGCATTCATACTCCATAGTCTAATAGTTGGGAGATTAGGTGACTTGATTCTCTACATAAAATCCCTTTGTAATAAAGTAATGTCTGTCGATATTAATTTTTCTATATTTTCATCTTTAGGTACTGACAGCTTTTAAAGATATACAAAATGAGGTGAGATTAAATCTTGTTTCTCTAGATTTTCTGGCCTCATCGCCTGCTCTTGATCTCACTTTTTCCATGCCCTACTGAGATGTTGACTCTGACTGCAGTTTTAGCTTCGTTTATTCATCTAGAGATTTCTCTTTTCCAAGAACAGCACTGACTTGTCAGTCCAGACATCCAAGGCAAAATGCCTAATAATTCCCTTGAGGAAATGTGATAATATAAAGAGAAAACTTATTTACCAGGATTTTTCTCAGCAAAAATACTCTGGGTGGTTATATAAAATGCTGATAAGTGGTGAGTGCAAGGGAGTTCCCAAGTGGCATAATAAACTGCCTTGTTAGGTAAGTATGTCTGTTAACTGCAGGGAATTGCAAATTAGAGGCCAGGACTAAACTTTTGGGATAAAGAGAGATGAGTCTCCTCCTTTGCTCCATACAGATTCTCCATACAGATTTCAGTCTTTTTTCTGAACAATGATCTAATAAATAATGTAATCAAGCACGCACTATATTGTTGGCCTTCCCCGAACACTGAATTATTTAAGTTTGTTCAAGGTGCTGATACATCTTGGTCCTATCAAGTTCACTGTCACATTTTTTTTTCTTTTTGCTCTGTTTACAGCAGAGAGTAATAGGTACTCCCTACACATAATTATTAACAAACTAGTTACATAAGCTATAAACATAGGAAAACATATAACTTGGGAGAAGTCTAAACATCATAAACCAGGGCAAACAGGAAGCTTCTGGTACAGATTTTTTGATTAATCTAAATAAAGATATAATTTCATTAAAATTAGAATCTAAATGTAATTCAAACTTCCTGTAGTCTTAGGAATAGTATATTGCTCTCCCTTCTTGGAAGGAGTGATGGGAAAACGGATTGGGAAGTCCTTAAGATAAGCTTCCTGTATTTCACCAGCTGGACCACTTTTGGCCTTAGAACTGAACCCCTTTTTACGGACGGTGGGAGAAGCCATGCTATTGTATCCTGTCTCAGGGTCTGAACTTACCTTCCTGATATGACAGCCTATGCTTTTCCTTGGCTGTTGGTGGAAAGGAGCACTAGATAGAAATCAGAAGGTTGATATTTCCATAGGGTTTTTGCCTTTGGGTTCAAAATACTTCCACCTTCTCAGAACTTTAGTCTCCTGAGGCCTTAAATCTCCTCCAAGCCGAATTTGAGCTAATAGGAGGAAGAGGAGCTTGTTTAGAAGGGGTTTTTGTGTATAATGCCTTCCAGCTACTCAGGACCTACCTATAGTTAACATCCACCCAGCATCACACTGCTGAAGCCCTCTTCTGGTGTCAGATACAGTCCCTGCTCTCACAGAAGCCCCAGGCTAATGCAGACCAGACAGACACCCTAGTTAAAGATATAAGGGAAATTTTTGTACCTAAATACTGAGGTAAGAATAAAGTCAAGCAAAAGAGGGGGATGGAAAGGCGGAATGGGATTGGGATGTGCTTTTTTCCAATTAAGCAAACAGGGGACCCAGCACAAGGGCATTCTAATGCAGAAAAAGTATTTTGACTCAAGTGAGCTGGGGGGTGGGGGGGAGCAAAGCATTTGACCAGTAGCTATTTGCCCTGAGGTAAGTAACAGGGATTCTTTAAAAAGTCCTCCACAAGTACTTCAAGGTTCTTTCAGAGGAAACACAAGAGATTCGGTGAGAAAGGTAAAGTAGGCCAGAAATAATAAATGAGGTAAGCTCCCTGTGTGAATAGTTATAGCTGTAAGTAATGAACTGTTTTTCTCCCAGCCCTAAAGAAGCCACAGCTTGCTCCTATTTACCTATCCATGCATTATTCAGTAGTTCTGAGTTTATCTTCTGTGCAGGGCATTGTCGACAGTGGTTTGGCTTGAGAGATACAAAGGCAATACAAATTCCCAAGAAGTAGATCTATTCCCAAGAAGTTCATATTTCCCAAGCAGGTATCTGTACACCAGACCTGGGCTATACCTGGTACACTGAAGGTCCAGATAAGAACATACCCCTTAGTCTCTGAATTCTCATTGTTTTTCAGCTGCAGGAAGATGCCCGGATTCGAGGTAAAAAAGAAACATTCCAAGGTTTGAATGAGGGAACAAAGGATGAAATGGGGGAGGAAATACGGAGGAGTTCATCCCAAAGTTTCATCTGGGGGTCTTCCATTTGGCTTAGAGCTGGAGAACATGTCCTCTTTTCATTTCCACCTCCAATTAAGTTGGACATTGGCTTTCCTTAAAGCCTCCATGAGCACGCTAGACTCAACTCTGACCATTCCAGTTAACCTTAACCCATTTGGGCAGCTAAAACAGAATACCATAGACTGTCTGGCTCATAAGCAACAGACATTTATTGATCACAGTTCTGGATACTGGGAAGTGCAGGATCAAAATGCCGGCAGATTTGGTGTTTGGGGAGGGTTTTTTTTTTTTTTTTTTTGCTATGTTTTTCACATGGTAGAAGGGGCAAGGGAGGTTACTGGGTTCCCTTTTTATAAAGGAAATAATAATATCATTAATAAGGGAAGAGAGCCCTCACAATGTAATTATTTCCCAAAGTCTCCACTTTTAAATACCATCTCACTGAGGATTAGATTTCAATCTGTGAATTTGCAAAAGACACAAGTAATGCAGTCTATAGCACCTGGGCAGGAATGAAAGGATGCCTTTCTCCCTGGGAACTGGTGTTGAGGGCCTCAGGACACTCTCAGCCCTTTAGTTCAGACATTCTTCTTTTCACCAGAGGAGATATGCCAGCACAGAGGAGAGCAGCTTAGCAGGAATAGAAGCATGGGGAGGTCGCAATGAAATGATTATTCAAATTAGTCAATTTATAGGTTCTTAAATGCCAAGATACAAATTCTAATGTTTCAGAAAAATATCCAAAATATCCAGGAACCCAGAGTTATAATCAAAATCATATTTGGAGCTTCTCCCTCCATTCATCCAAGAAAGAAGGTATAAATCAAAGCTTTTCAAACTTTTGCATGTAGTTTCCTTTTTAAAAAAAAAAAACAGTTCTTATTCAGTAGGTCTAGATGGGTTTGTAGTTCTGAAACTGGCTTTCATATAATGCTAAAGCTGCTGATTAACAGATGACACTTTGATTATCAAGAATGTATATGACAACCCAAAGAGAGAACCTTCAATGTGAATAAAGATTAAATAATATTTAACTCAGAGACTTCCATAGGCCCATGGAAGGGTTGAGGAGACTTGAGCTGTGGATCCAGGAGGCAGAAGGAAGATAAACCCTAAAGGAGATTCTTACTACTCTTGAGGTCTCTCTGGTATTGGAACACTCTGTACTTTTCTAGCTCTTCCAACAAAGCAGAGTGCCAATATCATTGGGGATCCTTAAAAACAGACTGATCAGGTAAGACCCCGTCTGACTTTTCTTCCAAGCCTGGTCAATCACCTCAAACTGGCCTGGAAGAATCCGTTGTGAGATAGATACTCAGGAAACTTTTCCCCTTTTTTTGACCGTTAGGGAGGTCAGAATGGGGAGGTCAGAATGTCAAAAAGTCAAAAGGGCCAGGATTTCTTCTGCTTGAAGGATGTTCTCCTTTATCCAAGGAAACTTGATTTCCAAAGGTCACCGCAGGTCCCTGGGAACCCCTTTCTCATTACCCAAACTATAAAAATGTGGATGTAGAATCTAATGGCTAGCGTTGATTTTTTTTTTGCTTCCTGAAAGGTGAGGGAGGAAAGCAAAATTCAGGTGAGTGAGAAGAATTCAACTCTCTTTGTATCTATTTTCCATATAAAAAAAAAGGGGGAAGGTAAGATGTGTTCCTGGGGTAATGCCCTGAGATGAGGCATTTGACTAACTCCTAAATGACCAGCACTGGTTAAACAGAGCTCCAGTAGCCACATTCACTATGCTTCACAAACAGCTGGTGCCACATTCTGCAACTGCCTCTCTGATAGGTCATCAGTATTCATTCCCATGAGTCTTGCCCCTCCCACTTTGACTACTATACTCCAAACTAAGGATGTGAGTTTGGCAATTGGGTAGAAATTTCCACACCTGGTAACAGAATTCCTCCTTCCTGTATCCATATCTCAGGAATGAGCAACCGCTCCGTGACATTCATATCATCCTCATCAAAGACTGGGTAAGTGGCCTTATTCTAATAGTCTCCAAGGGAGATGACATCCACCTAGATACGGGTGTGATATCCAAGAATATAGGTAGCTCTGAGCCTTGAGCTTTCAGAAGCTTCCCTCCTAAAAGAGCAAACGTTGGTCCTTTGCCACCAAAGAAAGACCTCCCACCTCCGTCTAAATCCCTGTCAGAGATCCCTAGAATCCCAGGGTCAGCCCTAGGCCTCAACATAATAGATTTCAGGAAATTCTCTTTATTCAATTGAGCAAATAAGGTAACAGAAAATGATAGAATAAAGGAATAAGGAACTAGAGACTTAGAATAAAGTTAAAAAGAAAATTAACAAAAGTTTGAGAGTCCCCAAATTGGGAGATGTCAGAAATCTTTTACATGAAGACAAGGAGAGGGGTTGGGGCTTAGTGGTTGAGTGCTTGCCTAGCATCTGCAAGGCCCTGGGTTCGATCCTCAACACCATATAAAAATAAGTAAAATAAAGGTATTGACAAATATAACTAAAAAATAAATATTTAAAAACAAGAAGATGACAAGGAGAAAAATGATCAGGTTACCACACCAAAGACTTAATTTAGACATTAGGAATAATTTCCAGTAGCAACACTGAGAAACAGAGCCCTGAGTAGTCATGAAAGATGGTAACATCCTGCTTTAGAAGGCTTTAAAGATATGCTTTTAAAAATCAGTTTGACATGTTTTAGATATTGTCCCTGCCTGAACCAGGAAAGAAAGATGAACTCCCTAGGTCCCTGTTTGAACATGATTTGTCATTATCTCAGAGAGTTGGCCCTTGTAAAATAAAACCATACCTTTTAAAGAGATTGATCATTATGCTTTAACCTTCTCTGGGCTAAAACCATGGAAGGATTAACTGATAGGTGACCTCATATTGACATAAATTGTAATGTAATTATTATAAACCTTTACATGTAAGAACCACTTTGGTCAAAAATCCTTTGAATCTATGATCTTAATCATCCTCTAAAGCATGCAGTAGGAATTTTCTTGATGAAAACATAGGCTCAGTCTGGTTATGACACTTAATCTCCTAGTGCCCAGTAAGAGCTTTTTCCTGTGGGCCCCATATTCATCAGGGAATTGCAGTCCCAGAGCCAGTGCTGCCCATTCCTGGTGGAGTGTGACAACAAAATCCCTAGGGTCAGTGGAGGCCAGGGAGCGGGAGAGCAAAGGGTGGGATATCTTTCCCTCATTCATCCACAACCTCCTCTCATTTGGCGCAGAAACACCAGGCTTCCAGATTTCGCTACACCCACAAAGATTAGATCAGAGTTCAGCACTGGAATGAAGCCATCGAGAACCCCTTCCCACAACCTGAAGATACAGGACTCCGGCCAATCAGCTTACCACCCTGGACCCTGACTTTACCATCAAAGAACAAGGACTCCTCTGCTCCCATCAGGTGTTTTACCCAGTTTGCCTTTCCCTCAACTGCCATCCTGCCTACCCACGGTACTCAGGAACCCAAGCCTCATAGTTACTTATCCCAACATGACAGCAGCATCTGGCAGATTGGTACCGCCCAGTGCAAGAATCTCCACGGAATGAGAAGTTAGAAACAGAAGGGCAGAATCAGGCCAGGATTTTTGGGCCTCTGTGATTAAGACAAATAGCCAAAGAGTGTGTGTCAGGTATAGATAGTTCTGTATAGAAAGGAGTATTCGGGAATTAGTGAGATAAGTTATGGAATACAGAGTTGGAAAGGTAGACAGTTTTAAAATACACTGAGAAATGTGAGGCCCATCATTTCCTTCCCAAAAAAAAAAAAAAGGAAACTTGCATTACTTTTGGGACTTAATTAGGTATCAAGAGTCAAACACAGTACTTGCATAATCCGCTCCTTTGTCAGGGTTCTATTTTGTGTGGTACTTGAGCATGAGGCCTGCAAAGGCACAGTGTGGGGGACAGTCTATTTCCTCAACCCCTTTAACCCTCCTGATTTCTACGCTCATCTGACACTCCACATGAAAAAGAAGACTGTCTCTCTTGACCACATCCTACATGGCCCTTTTTTAGGACTCATTGTGAATTCCTTTCATGACAGAATCTGAGCTATAGGTGATGGAGAAAATTGGTTTCATCTCCCTGTGACTTTTTACAGTGAATCTGTGTTTTCTTAGACTTCTTTTAAATATTTTACAGTTTCCCCTATAAATAATTAAAATTCACAAGATATTCCAATATTTTAGCAACAGTATGACATGTATCTAAAGGCACACATACACTCACAAAACTTCTGTCATCGCTCAAGTCCCAGTTTGGGTTCAGATATTAATGCAGAAAGCTTTCTTTCTTTTTAGTACAACCTAGAGAGCAAGCATAGGGCAGCAAAGGTCCTGAAATGGATGATGCTTGGAGAGAATATGGTCTTCAATTAGTGGATCTCCTCCTTTAGATCCTGTTTGCTGTCTTGAGAGATGGGCAGGAGGGTAGAAGCATCACCACGACGACTGTTTTTACTGCAGTGCCACTTGCCTAGTAAAATACCTAGCAAGGAGAATAAACTTGATTTTTTTCTACCCATGTGACTATATCTAGAACTCAGCTCAGTTGGCTGAAAAAGAGAAGATATTAGATAAACATCACTGGACCAAGAAGAGAGATTTGTGACTGTGGGCAGACCTGCCACAGCTTATGGTTGTAACCAGGAACTTGGAAATCAAGTGAGACCCAAGCACATCCCAATTGCCAAACAAAGGAGCCCGCAAATAACAACTGAGGAAATAAATGTGACATAAAAAATTGACCTCTTGGTTTTCTCTTGGGTTGTAGAATGTAGCAATGAAGTTTTTGAAGTAGGATATTGCATTTGGTTCAAAGAACAGCATTAAAAGATGAGAAAACCTGGATTATAAAGTCATCAATTAATTTTGAATTTGTTAATTTTCGGTGCAGGCATCAGTTTTCTCTCATACAATTAGTAGGCATATCAGTGGTAGAGCACTTGCCTAGCATGCGCGAGGCACTGGATTTGATCCCCAGCACCACATAAAAAAAAAAACTAAACAAAGATATTGGATTCATCTACAAAAAAAATTAGTAGGCATAACTAGCAAAGTCTAAAGTCTTCTTTCATTTTTAATATTCTGTGTTCTGTATGGTTTTGGTATACCATTCCAACAGGAACCTATCGCCGTCTATCCGAGCTGGTGACCTATGCTGGGTTCACAAAATCTGACTATTCCAATAACTTAAGAAAATGGTGAAGAAAGCACACAAACACAGAAATATCTTTTCAAAATCCAGGGATGGCTCTGTGACCTTAGGGGTCTGTGGAAAGAAAGACACTGGAATTCTTTATTCTTATACAGGGGACACACAAGGGGAGGTTCCATGGAACATTCTATCCCCAAAAGGGCAAAGGGGTAGGATAACAAAGGAATAGGTGGGTATAATTCAACCCCATTGGGTGGCGCCCACTCCTGGAGCCACATGTTCCTTATCCAAGTGGAGATAAAGCCCAATGTTTTACAGGGTACCATAACTGTTCAGCACCACTTTACTCAGGACTTAGAGGTATGCACATAGCTTCTGTCCAGAGTGGCTCCTGACAGTAATCCCCCAACCTAAGGAAAGTCCACCTACTCCAAAAGTATTTCCTATGAGAAAGGATCATTTCTAATATTCATCAAAGATGGAGATATTTGCAAATAAAAATACATTACCTGGCAAGGAAGGTAGAATTGTTACGTATTTTCTAAAGATCTAAATAAGTGAACGTAAGTATACAACAAAGAATTTAATCTTCAGGGTGAGAATTTGTCACACCAGTATAATGATAAGCAGAATGCATTATAGCAATAAAGTAAGTTTTCAAAAATTTTAAACCTCATTAGATGGTCACTTGACAATAGTTTTAATACAATTTTACATTATTAAAATTTCATAAAATTAATGGAGAACTTTTAAAATAAAGGATACCATAATTTTTGTGTTGTACCAAAAACAAAAGCTAGACCAGGATACCCTCTATTCACCTGTTAATTCAACAGTATTAAAAATGTTTTCAGGAAGAGTCATCATAGCAGATTAGAGAAAGGCTGCATTTCCAATTATTCTGTGGCTCAGGATTCAAACAGCAGGAATACTGCTTCTCAGTGAGGTGGGCAAAAGCGGGAATTCACTGAAATTCAATATCAGAGAGTCAAAGTCTCTTAGAAACTCAAAATTCAGGTGTAATGAACAAAGAACAAAAAGGAGTACATTGAGGTTAATCTGGTTGTGGCAGCAGCAGTGGCACTGGTTCACCAAAGAGAGGAGGGATAACAGAAATCTGATGAACAAATATGGCATTAAAAAAAAAAACATGGATAAGGTCTGAACTTATCTCCTCCTCCTCTATAGCCATCACTTTCTAGATCCTTTCTGTTCCCTCTGTTCACATTTTGAACATTCTAAACTTTCTTTTACCTTCCTATGATATCTTCTTTTAAAGATCTATGTTTTAGAACTATTTGGTTATATAACCCCTGCTCCCACCACTCGTGTTGTTGTTGCAGTTACTAATACTGTGGATGGTGTAGTTATACCTGCTGTTTAATAGCAGATCTAGTTCATGGCTATTTATTGTTTTTGCTATTGGAAATTGCTGACCTCACCATTCCTGGTTTTGTGGTAATTAGTGTTGTAAACATCACATACATAATGCGGTATGTTATCTGTTTTAGTTGTTTCCCATTTTCGGTGCTTTGAATCTATAGGGCCACTACAAGTTCACAGGGTAGAGCCTCTACTGCTAAACTAAACCCAGCCAAGAGAGCACAACTTGCTCCACAGACAAATTAACCATGCTCAAATTTCAGTGATACTTTAATACAAAGAATAGCAAAGACCAAAAAAAAAAAATGATCAGGCCCCAAGTAGGAATGGCTGGGGATTGGGAGGGGTTCAAGTCCCACTCAAGGACATCCACTCTTAACAGCAAAAACAACATTAATACAAAAACTGTGGATAACATGCCTATGAGGGTGCTCATTATAAATCACTCTAGGACACATTGGCAAGAGGAGGCTGTACCCTAACAAGGCCCAAACATATGAGTGAAAGAGAAATCCATTACAACATAGGTGTAAAACCCAAGAAAGAAATACAAGAAATAGACAAAAAAGTAACCTGGCCCCTTATATAGTTCATAATTCACCAGCAACTGACTCTGAAGATATTTAATTAAATAAAATAAAAAAGAATTCAAAAGAATGACTATAAAAATAATCAAAGAATTCCAAGAGAACACAGAAAAATAACTAAATGAATTAAGGAAATCAGTACAGGGTATAAACAAGCAATTAAATAAAGAGAAGAAGATAATGAAAAAGAACAGAAACCTTGAAAATGAAAGGCACAATAAATTAAATAATATGTTCAGTTGAAAAGTCTACAATAGAGTACACCATGCAGAACACAATCTCCAAAAAAAAAAAAAAATACCACTCACATGGACTACAGAAACAAGTAGGGGTTTCCATCTCATATCAAATAAAGTAGACTTCAAAGCCAAAGTTAATCAAAAGGGATAAAGAAGGACATTTCACACTGCTCAAGTGAACCATACATCAACAAAACAAAACAATTATAAATTTATATGCTGCAAACAATGAAGCAACTACATTCATCAAAAAACTAGAGAATTCTCAAGTTCAAGAGTCAAATAGACCATAACACAATAATTCTGGGTGACTTTAACACACCTTTAACACATCTCTTTCACCACTGGATATATCTTCCAAACAATAGCTGAACAAAGAAATTATAGAACTCAATAATACAATCAATAACTTAACTTAAATGACAAATATAGAATATTTCATCCATCAATGAGCAAATACACTTTCTTCTCAGCAGCACATGGATCTTTCTCTAAAATACACCACGTATTATGCTACAAAGCAACTCTTAGAAAATACAAAAAAATAGAGATACTACCCTTCATTCTATCAGATCATAATGGAATGAAATTATAAATCAATCATAAAATAAAAAATAAAAGCTATTCTAACACCTAGAGACTAAATAACATCTTATTGAATGAACAATGGATTGCAAAAGACATCAAAGAAGAGATTTAAAAGTAAAAAATTCTTAGAGGTAAATGAAAACACTGATAAAACATATCTAAATCTCTGGGACACTATGAAGGCAGTACTAAGATGAAAGTTCATTGCATGGAGTTCATTCCTTAAAAGAAGAAAAAGTCAACAAATAAATGACTTAACATTGCATCTCAAAGCCCTAGAAAGAGAAGAACAAATCAATACCTAAAGCAGTACAAGACAGGAAATAATTAAAATCAGAGCTGAAATAAATGAAATTGAAACAATTGAGAAAATTTGACAAAACAAAAAGTTGGTTCTTTGAAGAAATAAATAAAATTGATAAACTTTTAGCCATGCCAATGAAGAGAAGGAGAGAGAAAACTCAAGTTACTAACATCAGTGATGAAAGGGGAATATCACAACAGACACTACAGAAATACAGAAGATAATTAGAAATTATTTTGAAAATTTATACTCCAATATAAATTTTATAAGTATAAAATTTATACTCCAATAAAATAGAAAATACCGAAGGCATTAACAAATTTCTAGAATCATATGATTTACCCAAACTGAACCAGTATAATATACATGATTTAAACAGAACAATTTCAAGCAATGAAATAGAAGATGCCATCAGAAGCCCACTGACCAAGAAAAGTCCAGGACTAGATGGTTACACAGCCAAGTTCTACAAGACCTTGAAAGAACTATTACCAATACTCCTCAAATTATTTCATGAAATGGAAAAAGAGGGAACACTTCCAAACTTATTCTATGAGGCCAATATCATGCTGATTTCAAAACCAGGCAAAGACACTTCAAAGAAAACTTCAGACCAACATCTCTAATGAACATAGATGCAAAAATTCTCAATAAAATTCTGGCAAATCGAATTCAAAAACATATCAAAAAGGTAGTGCACCATGATCAAATGGGGTTCATCTCAGGGATGCCAGGTTGGTTCAACATACAGAAATCAATAAATGTAATTTATCACATTAGTAGACTTAAAGATAAGAATCATATGATCATCTCAATAGATGCAGAAAAAGCATTCGACAAAATACAGCATCCCTTCATGTTCAAAACACCAGAAAAACTAGGAATAACAGTTTTTCTAGGAATAATAATACTTATCTCAACATTGTAAAAGGTACCTATGCTAAGCCCCAGGCCAACATCATTTTAAATGGAGAAAAATTGAAGGCTTTCCCTCTAAAAACTGGAACAAGATAGGGATGCCCTCTTTCACCACTTCTATTTAACATAGTTCTTAAAACACTGGCCAGAGCCTAGATAGACAAAAGAAATTCAAAGGATACAGATAGGAAAAGAAGAACTCAAATTAGCACTATTTGCCAATGATATACCAAGAAGACCCAAAAAATTCCACCAGAAAAAACTTCTAGAACTAGTAAATAAATTCAGCAAAGAAGCAGGATATAAAATCAACACCCATAAATAAAAGGCATTTCTGTATATCAGTGATAAATTCTCTGAAAGGAAAATGAGAAAAACTATCCCATTTACAATAGCCTCAGAAAAATATAAAATACTTAGGAATCAATTTAACAAAAGAAGTGAAAGACCTTACAGTGAAAATTATAGAATGCTAAAGAAATAAATTAAAGAAGACCTTAGAAGATGGAAAGTTCTCCCTTGTTCTTAGGTACACAGAATTAATATTGTCAAAATGACCATACTACCTAAA